TCTCAAAATTACCTTTCATTTGATAACCATGTTAAGTTATTTTAGTTAAATTTTATGGAGTGGGAAATAAGTGGCAACCTTATATTAATATCCTTAGGGACTGTTCAAGTACGCATAAAGAGTAATATAATGTCTTAATTTTCTTCACAAAAAAATTAAAAAAATAGAGGATGGAAAATAAAAGGCAACCCTTTTTGAAAATATTCCGGAGATTGAGACTTGAAACTTTACACTTAGCACAGAACCTGATGTCAATTAAATGTGAAGTATAAATTATTCCTCGAGGTGGCGCAGATGTTGAGGTATTTAAAAAAGCCGTATTTATGGTCATATTAATTTAAATTTGCTTCCAAAATATTTTTCGTTTAGAATTCTATTACTCCTATTATTCTATTATTATTTCAAAGTTTTTTATTTTTTATTTTGTTTCCCTGCATACTGAGTCACTTATTAGGCTCAAATATTAATGCATCGATAGTATTTTTTTCACCGACATAATTTGTAGGAAAATAAGTATTAAGTATTGGATAGGCGTCATGTTATACACATATTTTCAAATTGAAACTATCGAATTAACCGTTATTTGATTGGCAAACCTTGGAAACTTTAGAAGCATATGCGCTCCAAGCAAAGCTGGGTTAACCACCAGGTAACAACATATTTTTAAATCAGCCGTCTGCTTCCTTTTGAGATCTCTATAAAACAAGTCAATATTTGAATACTCTTCAAAGGATACCAACTGGAAGTACTGGAGAAAATTCACCTCTTCAATGAAGTCTTAAAATAGTTGTGTTGAGGACATGGATCTAAATATAATATCTTCTAATTAAAATATTATTTAAAAATACCTTAATATATTTCTTAAAAATATTTACATTAAAACGTATATTAGAATTGAACTATTTAGCCTCAAACACTTAAGTTTGAATAGTTACCAAAATGTATACTTATCCTGTTTTATTTATAACCTACATGTATGTATTTACATATGTATGTACATACATATGACTAACTAACTTACTTATATTGAAAGAAAAGATGTAAAGTTAATCGCTCGCTACATCCCCACGAATACGGACCTCTCTAATCGCTCTTTTATATTTATTGTAAATAAAATTATTCGAAATAATTAAAAAAATTAAAAACGCAAACTCTACTCCTTTCTTTCAACGGAAATTTTATTATTATTGTAATTTCGGTTAACAGTGCACCAACGAGGTACTAGGGCCTAAAATTTCTCACAGGGCAAGCAACCGCATAACTAATTAACAAAGCATCAACAAAACAATAGTATCTAATATATATTTTCCGTTTTAATCACATTACTATTTTTCCCGGTTATTTACAGTTTTGCGTCACTACCTTTTTATATACACACATACATACATGTATACGTATTTACATATGTCTAACATATTTGAAATCATATCTACAAATGAGGCCATGAGGGCCAGAGGAGCCTATCTAAAATCAAAATTTTTAGTAATATGAGAAAGAAGGATCCATAAAAATATAAATGCGGATTTTACTAAAAAGTTCCTTGCATCTACGTGATGCTACATATTATAGTAAAAGAATACGAAAAACTGAAATCTCAGTTAGGCTACTCTGGCTTTCATGGCCTCATATGTATGTACACATGTCTACAGTTAGTCTGTTTTTATGATTTTATTTTGCAGATGCATATGTTTGTACGACCTTTTGCTTAATGCAGCTATAAAGAAATATGAATTCAATCCACAATTTGCGGGAGATTTGTTTGGATGCATGAATGGGTGGCTACATTACAAATTCATCGAAATCAGCACAAATAATAATACAACAAAAACGACTTGAAAATTTATCACTGCCAGGGGTGGAGGTCACTTACATACAATTTACAACTGTCATAACTTGGATATCTCCAACTGCTGCAAGCGATCCAAGCTATCAAAACAATCGATTTGGTTGCGACAATTAAACGCCCACAGCGCGATTTTACTACAATTCTATTGGTGTATTACACTTCAGGAGCTTACGGCGATAATTTATTGTCGAAAATAAATATATGTATGAATGTATGTATGTAAGTTTGTCTGCATGGAGATTTATATTGCAAAGCAGTTAGTTCATTTGAAATTTGTCAGAAACAGACAATTACTATTTATGTTCGATGGTTAAATGTTGAGAATGGAAGTGGTCAATGTGAAGGTGAAGAAAATTTCCAAAGCGCGTATACTTTCAATATGTACGTGGATATGTCTGTTATACACAGATGTACGAATACATGTACATAGTTTGCAGTAAAAATGAAAAAATCATATGCTATTTTTTCATACAATCAATTGCTTAATGACAATCTAGAAATCTAAAACTGTAGAGAGGTCGTGTAAATACATTAGGGTGGTCCAAAACCAGTAAAGTCGCTATTTTTTTATTTTGAAATCAAAAAATAGAGGTCGCTCAAAGCGCTCAAAGTTTTCCATGTATTTTTATATGGATAAAAAAACTTTTCGTAGAAATGGTATAGAATCCTTGAAAATCAATATTTTTCAATCGAAAAAGTCTAGTTCTCTTCAGGAGACTTTCAATAATAATACCCAATTATTTATTTAACCATTTTTTAACACTGCCGAGTTTTTCTTGGTCTCTCTTCTGTTTTTTTTTTGGTTTTTGTGGGTTTTTGGAGGACCTATAAATTATAGTTGCGCTGAAAAATTGGTTAAATAACAATTGGGTATTAGTACTGAGAATCCTTTACAGATAAACAGAGTTTTCCGATAGAAAAATATTGATTTTTAAGAATTCTATACCATATGTTTGGCGTTTTGAGCGACTTCTAAATATTTTTTTTATTCTCAAAATAAAAAATATGGCTATATTTGTTTCGGTATAGAAGAATCCTAGGGGTGAGAGCATAAAAATTCCGACTTTACTTTTTCACATGCATTTTTGGACCACCCTAATGTACATTGAAAACTTCTTTAAAAGAATGAGCAAAGGTGATGCAGGGAATAGAATAGAATACAGTTGGCCCATTTCAACTCACTAATCTCCGGAACTACTGAATAGATTGGACATAACATAGGGTATAAAAATGGATTCAGACAAGGAGGCGTGGCATATCCTATAGGCATGAAATTTTTAATCAGCTATATCTTTAGGACCATAAATTGCATGAGATTGATATTTGGTGTGGAGACATTTCCAAAGTATGCGTTTATAATAAATTGAATGTGGGTGCGTGTTTCCTAGGATTCGTGGCACCTCCCATAGATGTAGTTTATTAGGGAACCACAACCTTGGAACCATTGCCAATAGAGAGAAAAACGGAATATCCTGTTGTATATCAGAGAGTGATGAGAGCACCTCTCATAGACGGCATACGTTCAGAGAGCCATAACTTTGGAACCACAAGTCAATTTAAAAATTGGAGCACCTTGTCTTCTTCTTTCGTTACCTTGATCCACCTAACCTTAATAATGGAACAACACTGGTAGTAAAGGAAATGATGACCAATATAACTGAAGCAAGAATTGTTGTTTCTGTCAGGAATCCCACAGACCTTCCATTTTAATTTAAAAGCCTTCAGTGTTCTCTGAGGCTTTGCTTTAACATGTGGTAAAAAAATCGCAAGGTCAAACATTAAATGTAACTGGGCTTCAGCTGGAAAACCGAGTTTTATTTACGGTCTGTTATACATGTTTTGTGGGATGTTCACGAGTGGGACGTCTGATAAGTAGTAGCACCAATTGCTTCTATAACTCAACATGAAATTGAATGAATTGTTCGTAAAGCGACCTTAAATTAAATAGAAAAAATTGTTTATGTCTTCTTTAATTTATGGTAAACTGACATTTTTTTTACCGTTTTATATTATGATTTGTTAACCTTCGTCCGAATTTAATCCACTTTTTTCCTTTGTCGGGTCCACTTTCGGATTTTTTGCTATCTGGGCAAATTCGCTAACTTTATTTGTTGATAAGTTTGCAGTACAAATATTTGCGAAATCTTTCTTCGATAACTTTCCCAATATCTTTACTAGTGTGTTTTTTAATCCCTGTATTGATATAATTATCCATAGATATATTTATCGATAAGTGTTTTTGTCGAGATTTTATCAATAATTATGTTTATCAATATGTTATCCGTAAATATGTGTATCGATATATATTTCTTGGTAAGTAGCAATACATACATTTAATTTATACCGTTATCCACATATTTACGAATAACGCTATCATTACTTCCTTCCTTCAAGGCTTTTGGAAGAAAAACCTTCCACGCCACAGTCATCATAAAGATTATAGCGTGGAGTTATACACAGTATTTCTTACATTTTCAGCGACTACTGGTTTTTGAGAGTACTTTTGGATGGAATAGGAAATTTCGATGGGATCTTTTGATCCCATATTGCCTCATTTTAATACAAAATAATTTTTTTGGATTCGCATGCTTTATATTTTGAACTATTTTCTTCTTGTTCCGGAGAGTTAGAAAAAATTATTTGGCAGCTAGAAGCGCGGTTAGTTAGGTACCTCAGTGCACGAAGAACAAGGTAAAACTGTGTAGTTTTGAAGGGAATGCTGTCGCCACTGCCCTGTCTTACCGTCGGAAATGCAACGATCAGTGCACCTTCACCTCTATGTCTATGAAGCGGATCTATGCTAAGCAAGAATTCATAAATTCTTGCGCTTTATCCAGCTACTGGTACTACTACAAAGCGCCTATTGAGCCTATATTGGAAGCAGGCAGACACTCCAACACAACCTAATCCGAAAGCGTATTGGACTTACTTCGGCTCTAGGTAGACGCCGCACTCTCTTGTCTATTTTGCACCCATCTGTATACACGTGCCGGAGTCGTGGCGAAAAACCCCTCCGGAAATTTGTTCGAAGTTAGGCATACCTCAAATGTTTCCTGTTACGAATCGACGCATCCTAATATGAAATTTTCCCTATAATGTGTACGAGTATTTAATTCAAAAAAACATTGAAAGAATGAAACTAGATAACACTTACCGAGAATCGCAGTTCATTCGTGGTTGGCTTCATGGATCAACTGAGGCGTTCATTAAGTGCACCGCCAGGATTCATTCAACGGAAACCGCACAGTCAGTACTTTAAATATTTATTTATTTGCTATTAGCACTATTAAATATACACCCTTAGCATTCGCTAATAATAGGTTGCATACTTCCCATACATGGGCCGCGTGGGTGTATGGGATTTTTCCAATTTCACTGTATGAGTGAGTACAATTACGATATTAGCCAGCAGGGAATATTTAGGTTGTATGTAATTTTGTTTATTTCAAATGCACACTTTAGCTAGTTTGCCTTTTAATTCACTTGTTTTTGTTATTATTTATTCGCTAATGCTACAAATTGTATTTGTTCACCACTTTTGTTTACATAAATTAAATTCACTTAGCACTAATACACTCTCAAAAACATTGTAACACCAATGCTGTAAGTTGTTTTTTTTTCTCTCCCTATTGCCTGCTATCACAATCCATTTACTTACACACGAGGTGACGAGGTGCGTGACCCACAAATGGAGTCCTCGCTTAGCGCCTTGACTTGTGGTCCAGTTGCGTATACGTCGACGAGTGCGATGCGTGCTCACATGCAGCAGCGGCGTAGCGGCTGTCGCTTTATATGATTTATAAGCACGCAAAAGCACAGTTCATTTTTATTACACTTCAAACAAGATGTTTTTGTTCTCCACATATAATTTATTTAATCAACACCAATTTTATTTTTCAAGTCGCATGAGAATTTCATACATACATATGTATGTACGTGCGTCCTACATATTGCATTAATCGCAACGGTGTGGACAGCAGGGTGGGGATGGAGGATGAAAGGACAAACACACACCAAGTAATATCACATTACACGCTGCTCGCTCGCATGCATAGCGCGCATTCGATAGCCCGTTGCCTTGTGGCGCACATTTTAATGTCTGCTACGTACATACGTACGTACATATGTATGTATATACTAAACGTATGTTTGTATGCTGATGTAGATAAATATATTTTCGCAAATCCTTTCGTTTTAAGTCTCGCCACCACCACGAATTGACCCACTCTGCAGAATTCAAACAGCAGCGTTGTGGGAAATTCTGTAAAGAAATTAGAGCAAAGCAAAATATAAATTAAAAAAATTCTTTTCAACTCTAATGTTGCATGCATATTGAAATTTCGCAATAGTGGCAGACGGCGCGCCATTAAAACTTCAATAACAAAAAAAGTTTGAAACACTAAGGTAACGTGTTTTTTTTTTGCATTTATTTTTATGGCTGACCTAAACGTTAAAATAAAAATGACTGAAGAGTAAACTTTAGAAAGTGTTTAAAAAATAAGTACACGCTATGCAGTGTTCTTATGGTAGCAAAGAAGAATGTTTTTCTTGACTTGAACTCTGCTAACCATTCGACCCGCTGGCATAATCCGCAACTGCTGAGCAAACTTCTTAGCAAAATTCAAATACTTGTTAAAAAGCCAACATTTCGCTTTTGCTGATTTGTTATGTACGCTTTTTGCAAATAATCCCTTTTTGCTACATTTACTCAATTGCGAATACAAAAGCTTTTGCAAGGGTTTTTTTTTGGGTCGCCAAGTTGTTAGCATTCTACCAGAATGCACTCAGTAGGGCGGATATCTAAAAGAGGAAGGCGAATTAAGATTGAGCTGTTCAAAACTGGTAGCGAAGTGCTAGTATTTAGTTAGGCATGTGCCAGCTTTTAAGCAGAATTTGGTCTGTTGGCTACATGCCGAAAATTGGAAAATCTGTGTATTTCGCAGGAGCGGAGATCCCGCAGCGTGCCCCAATTAGCCCGGCATAAGCCTACTTAGCATTGCGTATAAGCTCCCATCGGCGATACTGGTTGTACCTAATCGGTGTGGCTTCAGACCTGGAAATCGGTTCGTCAAGTCCTCTTTTTATTGATTTTTAAGCCGCTTTTTTGTAGAAATGGTATAGAATTCTTGAAAATCATGATTTTTATATATGTGTATTAATAGGATTTTAATTAAACTAAGATTCTTCAAAATGCATTAAAAGTTAAAAGGACATTTTTGACATGTTCCAAGAGCATAATTGAAAACAAAAGTTATAATTGATATTGTTTCGAATTCTATTTTCAATTGATACCCATACAACCCTATTTTGTCTAAATTTTTGGAAATATATTACAATCTATGGTCCTTTGGTTAAAATCCTGACTATCTGGTAAACACCCAAATTTACTGAATATTATGTCCTAGTACTGTAGTGTTACCGCCTTATACAGAAATAAAATGAGTAAATTAACGAAACACGCGCACCGCACAAAGCACATTCTGATAACTTTGACTGCAAGTGGGCGCGGGTTGCCGTGGTCCAAATTGCATGAAATTTGATTCGGATAAATTTTAATCAAAACTAATAAAATTAGGGGGTATGCGTTAAAAAACACCTTTGGTTTTTTTGGGACCGTCTAATATGTATGTATGTATAAGGAGGATGGTTCCGTGCGCAGAAGTGGAAAACTTTTGACTGCCATTCACCTGGGAGTGGCCAGAAGCGATTCTTGTGCGTACGGTTCAAATCGCAGCTCACAACGTCCGGATATTTATATCCACGTATCCGCTGGGTAGCAGCCAAACCCCCGTTTGGGAGCGAGCGAAAGTGAGAAGGCGTAAAACTTCGCGTGCGCTGGCTTTGGGTCCCGCCACGTTAAAACCCCGCCCAATGAAAAACAAAAAACAGCCTCGGATGAGACCCCCTTTTTCTGATGACGACCACGGCAAACGTATAAACTATGATTTAAGGGTATGCACCTGGAATATCCGGACCCTTAATGGGGAAGGTGCCTCTGCCCGGCTGGTTGATGTCCTCGGGAAGACAAAGGCTGACATCACCGCCATCCAAGAAATGCGATGGACGGGGCAAGGAAAAGTAATCGTGAAGCCTTGCGACGTCTACTACAGTTGTCACGTAAAGGAGCGCAAATTCGGTGTTTGATTCGTGGTAGGAGAGACAGTCCGTCGCCGAGTACTGGCGTTCACCCCGGTGGACGAACGTCTAGCTACAATCCGCATCAAAACTAGATTCTTCAACATCTCGCTCATCTGCGCCTATGCCCCGACGTAAGAGAAGGATGAGGCGTCCAAGGATCTCTTCTATGAGCGCTTGGAACGTACATATCAGCGCTGCCCCCACACGATGTCAAAATCGTGCTTGGCGATTTTAATGCCAAGGTGGGCAAGGAAGGGATCTTTGGCGCCACTGTCGGAAAATTCAGCCTCCACGACGAAACGTCCGATAACGGACTGAGGCTGATCGACTTCGCCGGAGCCCGAAACATGGTAATATGTAGTACTAGGCTCCAGCATAAGAAAATCCACTAAGCTACATGGCTGTCTCCAGATCGAAAAACGAGAAACCAAATCGATCATGTTGTGATAGACGGAAGGTATTCTTCAAGCGTTTTAGACGTACGTACACTCCGAGGGCCAAACATCGACTCGGACCACTATCTTGTTGTAGCCAAGATACGCACCCGCCTCTGTGCAGCAAAAAATGTGCGCCCAATAATGCTAGGAAAGCTTAACGTCGAAAAGCTGCAATCACAACAGACGGCCAATTTATTCGCCACTCGACTCACTGCTCTCTGAGAGCACTCTTCAACAATCCGACATACGCGAGCAGTGGAACCACATTTCCCGATCATTAAGTACCGCCGCCGAAGAAGTAGTTGGATTTCAGCGAGCCCGAAAGAACAACTGGTACGATGAGGAATGTCAAGAAGCCGCAGAGAAAAAAGATGCCGCCTACAGGGCCACGCTGCGATCGGGCGCAACGCGAGCCATGTGGGACCGTTATAGGGAACTGAAGAAGGAAGCGAGACGTATTTGCCGCAATAAGAAGAGAGAGGCCGAAATACGTGAGTGCGAAGAGCTTGAGATGCTGGCCGACAGGAAGAACGGCCGAAAATTCTACCAGAGGGTTAGGCGACTTACGGAAGGTTTCAAAACAGGGGCGAACTCCTGTAAGAACAACAATGGCGACCTAGTGGCCGATGTCCAGAATATACTTAAATTGTGGAGGGAACACTTTTACAACCTACTGAACGGCAGCAGCGCTGACAGTAGTGAAGAAGACGAACCCGAGTCCCCAGTCGATGATGATTGAGTAGCTGTTTCACCGCCTGACTATGATGAGGTACGAATAGCGATTACGCGGCTGAAAAACAACAAAGCTACTGGAGCTAACGGCCTGCCAGCAGAGCTATTCAAGTACGGCCGCGAGGAGCTGATGAGGTGGATGCATCAGCTCGTATGCAGAATATGGTCAGATGAACGCATGCCCGACGACTGGAATTTTTGTGTGCTCTGCCCAATCCACAAGAAAGGCGACTCCGCTATACGCGCCAACTACCGCGCAATCAGGCTTCTAAGCATAGGTTATAAGGTCTGATCGAGTGTATTGCGCGAAAGACTGAAGCCCACCGTCAACGAGCTGATTGGACTTTACCAGTGTCGGTTTAGGCCTAGAAAATCCACCATAGATCAGGTATTTACAATACGCCAAATCTTGGAAAAGACCCGCGAGAATAGGATCGACACACACCATCTATTTGTCGATTTCAAAGCCACTTTCGACAGCACGAAGAGAAGTTGCCTTTATGCCGCGATGTCTGAATTTGGTATCCCCGCGAAACTAATACGGCTGTGTAAAATGACGTTGAGCAATACCACCAGCTCCGTCAGAATAGGGAAGGACCTCTCCGAGCCGTTTGATACCAAACGAGGTTTCAGACAAGGGGACTCCCTTTCGTGTGATTTCTTTAATCTGATGTTGGAGAAGATAATAAGAGCCGCAGAACTGAACCGCTCAGGCACAATACTTTACAAGAGCGTACAATTGCTGGCGTATGCCGACGACATCGATATTATCGGTAAAAACAAGGGCTACGTCTGTTCTGCCTTCTCGGGATTGGATAGGGAAGCAAAGCGAATGGGTCCGGTGGTGAACGAGGACGAAACGAAGTACCTCTGTCATCACACAAACAGTCAGAGCATACGCGTCTTGACACCCACGTCATTGTTGACAGTTACAAGTTTGAAAAAGTAGACGACTTCGTTTATTTGGGAACCAGCATTAACACCAATAATAATGTCAGCCTTGAAATCCAACGGAGAATCACTCTTGCCAACAAGTGCTACTTTGGGCTAAGTAGGCAATTGAGAAGTAAAGTCCTCTCTCGTCGTACAAAGATCACGCTCTATAAGTCACTCATCATGCCTGTTCTGGTGTATGGCGCGGAGGCATGGACAATGAAAGCCTCTGATGAGGCGGCTCTTGGAGTTTTCGAGAGAAAGATTCTGCGAAAGATCTACGGACCTTTACGCGTTGCTGATGGCGAATATCGCAGACGATTTAACGATGAGCTGTATGAGCTTTTCAACGATATAGACATAGTGCAGCGAATTAAAATTCAGCGGCTCCGCTGGCTTGGCCATGTCATTCGAATGGACAGAAACGCCCCTGCTCTAAAAATATTCAACGCGGGCCGCGATGCTAGTAACAGAGGAAGAGGAGGGCCTCCTCTGCGTTGGAAAGAGCAGGTGGAGAAGGACTTGGCTTCACTTGGCATTTCCAATTGGCGTCAGTTAGCACAGAAGAGAAATGACTGGCGTGCTGATTTGGACTCGGCCAAAATCACTTAGGCGGTTACAGCGCCAATAAAGAAGAAGAATATGTATGTATTTAAATTTCAGCAATTAATTTTTTTACCAAAAAGTGGAAGCCTTAACCCACTGTAAAAAAAATATGATAAGTTGCAGCAAAATAGCAGACATATGTACATATGTGCGTACTCGTAGATACTAATCAAAATGCAATCTTTAATTCTTAAATCCAGGAATAATTGTACGAAAAACTTAACTAATTTTTGAAAATCCAGCAATTATATAGCTACTTTTCTTTCATATTCTAAATAGTGAACAGCACTTCTCGTGTCGTAGTTTGTTAATAAATTGCTTGTGAAACACATCCAACTTATTCAACTATGTTCATACTTTTATGAAACGCAACATTGCAACCACATTTGTAGTGTAATTACAATGAGTTAGTAGC